GCACGATAGATTTGTGGAACCTCTTCTATAGAAGAGTTAGAACTGGCAGGAACCCACCCAATCCAGCTGTTCTCTTTGGTAAAGAGAGAGAGAGAGACACTCCCCTCCGTATTTTTGTACCCCAAATGCTCCAATTTTGCACTGGCGGGAGGCACACACCCAGCAAATTCAAAATCATAATCCGTAAACATGAAGCTTTGGGTACCACATCCCTGGAAAAAATAATAATAATAGCATTGATCCTTCAAAATGCAGCACTGCTATTTTTATGCCGAGTATTTACTGCTATCACACTAAAAGGTCTCCTCCGGTGGCCCATTTCTTCTCAAGTAATTCGACCACGCTGGGGCTGCGTGCACATTAAACGCGGGAAATCAATTCCCTCCTATTGCATTTTTCATTTGTTGGCCATAAGAAAGCCATCTATTAAGCCTCGTTAGCATTTGTCTCACATGAAGGAGTCTCAGGGCTCTTAAGGCAGAGAACCGTCTGCAGTCGTGCCGCAGAAGTCCGATACTGCTGGGACTACAAGATCCATCAAGCACCAAGCAAACGGGCAGTGTTTCAGGGAGTTGCTGTCAAGAGTTATCTTGGAGGGGGGGTGGTGTATTTACAGGACAGCTAGTCTTCAACTTGGGACTGCAATCGAGCCCCAAATTTCCATCACAGAGCAAGGTGGAATTTGCCTCATTTTATGACCTGTTTGGCTATAGTTAAGCGAATCGTGCAATGAATCAAGCAGTGTATGGTTTCCTCCATGGGCTCCATTTGCCGGAAGCCGACTGGGAAGGTTGCAAATGGTCATCAAAGGGCCCCGGAATGCTGCAAGCGTCATAAATACGAGTCATGCCTGGTGTCTGAATTTTGATCACGTGACCTGCAATGGTCTTAAGTGTGAAAAGGTCGTAAGTCACTTTTCCAGTGCTGTTGTAACTTTAAATGGTCACTCAATGAAAGGTTGTTCCAAGGTGCTTTTTTTTCCCCCAAGAGGCTACTGGACTTTCTTGTTTTTCTTTGAAGATGTTTTGCTTCTCATCCAAGAAGCTTCTTCAGGATGGTGGGGAACGGAAGGATTTATATTCCTTGCAGTCAGCTGGTCATATCCATGTCCAAGTGGCCTCAACGACCCTCTAAAAGGATGCAAATGACCAATTGCCTGCAAGAAGTATTATTCCTTCCATTCCCCAGCATCTAGTCAGAGCTGAAGAAGCTTCTTGAATGGGAAGCAAAACGTCTTCAAAAAAAAACAAAAAAAAAAACAGAAACTCCAGTTGCCTCTTGAAAAAAAAAAGCACTTTTGGGACAACCATGACCTGGAGGACCGAGAATCTCCAAAGACATTTAAATACAATACAATGGCAGAGTTGGAAGGGACCTTGGAGGTCTTCTAGTCCAACCCACTGCCTAGGCAGGAAACCCTATA